ATGTTCCCTTTTCTGTTCCAATCTGTTTTCCACTTGCTTAAGCATTTGCGAGTGACTGAGCCTCTGTGGAGAACAAATTACTTGTGTGTGTGTGTGTGTGTGTGTGTGTGTGTGTGTGTGTGTGCACGCACGCACGAGTGCACATGTGTGTAGAAGCCAGAGGGTGTTATTCCTCAGGAGACATCCATTTTCTCTTTGACAGTTTCATATATGTATTGTGATCATACTAACCCTCCATTTCTTCTCTCCCTCTGGCCCCTGTTGACCCTATTCTTCCCAACTAGTACTACATCCATGTCTTTGTGTAGGTCATGTGCAAGTAGGCGCAGCTATTGTGAAAATAAGTGACTGTTAAGTACTCAGCCCTAAACAGGTCATCTACACTCTGCCGTCCAAGCCCAGAGAACACTGAAGAAGAGAGGATGGAAGGACTGTAAGAGCCAGAGGAGGGCAAGGTTCCCATGAAATGCCATATTTTCAATATGACATGTCCTTTGCAATTATGAACACACTTTGAGACAGAGTGTCTATGGGACCTGAAGCTCACAGATTAGGCTGGACTGGCTGGCCAGGGAGCTCCAGAGTCCACCCGTCTCTGCTTCTCCTGCTCTAGGATTACAAGTACCATACTTAGCTTTTACGTGGGTGCTGGGCCTCAAACTCGGGTCCTCATGCTTGAGTGGCAAGCACTTTACACTTTACATCTTCCCAGCCCCCGCTTTCCTTGACCTTAGTTGAACCCAAAGGCTCTGGAAACAAACCCAGATTGAAAGATTGATCAGCTGAAAAATAAAGATGGCATGTTGGAAGTGACTGAAAACGAGGTCGCCCCTATGTAACTTGCCGGGTAGACACCAGCACTTGGCAAGGTGTAACCACTATAATTAGCTCTAATTACCATTCCGCTCTGGTGGATGTGCTCTCCGTCTAGCAAAACTTGATCTTTCCACCTCTGTCACCTAGAAGCCCTTTCTCTACACTCCCTCGAGCTGTCATTTAAAGCTGATTGTCATGTCTCAGCAGCAAACAGCCCAGCTTGCTGACATAAACACCTTCCTCTACACTTGGATGTGTGTTTTGATCAGAATTAAGGGTTTTCTTTAACTTGTCCCCTGTCTTCCGTCTGTCATTTAATCACGGTAATGGTTTCCAAGCTCTGTACACTTTTGTTAGGTTCCTGGTTTTTCATCAAACCTCACATTTGTTGGCACCAAAGCCATGCTGGAGAAAAGATCTCAGATGGGGACTGTGTGACCATTGGAACAGAGTGGCCAGGGGTTGGGTAAGAAGAGAGAGGAGGGGTGGGTAAAGGACAGAAGAGGCCTCAGTGAGGAATGTTCTCTTGGGGCAGTCAGGCACTAGAGCTTCTCTGTTGAGAGAAACTTCCTCTTTTTGAAATCTCCATGAAAGTGAATTGTGTGTGAAGGAAAAAATGACACATCACTCTGCTTTCCATGAAGTAAAAACTTGTGGTGGAAAATTTACAAGGAAATCCATCTGATTTCTCTATTTCAATTGCTGTATGATTTTCAATATTACTCAACACTTGGACATCACAGCTGAGTACGTCCTCATTTTCCCCATTTCTTTTTCCAGCCACGTTATTTAGCAGCTTGCTAAATATAATGCCCCTCATTCTACATTTTGCTTTGTTTTTTTTGTTTTTTTTGTTTTTTTTTTTTAACAGATGAAGGAAGAGAACAGAAGTAGTAATGTAGTGAAGTCTCTGGGATTCACACAGTAAGTCAGTGGTAGAGGTCCAGGGCTGGATAAGAACTGAGATCAGCTCCTTGCAGAACCTTGGTCATGGATAGTAGACCTTTGTCCCAGGGTGAAGAGCTTGGCAGAGCTTGGCAACTCCATCTGGTAGAGCAATGCTCAGCAGACCTCATCCCAGGCCAACCCAGCCTGTTGCCTCTTTCTCAGTGGCCCATGTGAATTGAAAATGTTTTTTGCATTTCTATAGGATTAAAAAAAGTCCACAGATGTGTAACGTTTCCTGACACATGGAAAATTCTGTAAAACTCTAATTTCAGTGATCATAAATATAGCTGTATTAGAGTGCAGACATGCCTGTTGGTTTCTGTATCACCCGTGGCTGCATTCACCATGCTAAAGTGGGAGAGGTAGGAGGTCAGAGCAGAAACTCGGAGTCTGAAACAGTTCATGATTTATGAATCACATGACTCGTGGAACCTAAAACATTTGTAATGCAGTCTCTGGACAGAGCTCACTGACCTTTGAGGTAGAAGGATGCCAAGGGGTTGCATGAGGAATGAACATGAGATAGTTCGAGTCAGGTCTGGGACCAGGGTTTGTTAGTGATGGAGAGGCAGAAAGGGGGTGAGCAGTGAGTGATGTGACCAGATCTAATTTTCCCATAGCAGGCCCTCCATGTATCCTTAAATCCAAGAGAACATTCCCTCCCTTTGTTAGGAGAGACATTTCTTCAGTGGTGTAACTCTAGTAACTTGCCTGTGCTCTTGTAAATATCGTACCATCCATGCTCCTGTAAACAACTATAGTTAAACCGACTGTCGGGGGAAGAGAAAGCTGGAGAAATGGCTCGATGGCAAAGAGCACTTCCTCCTCACTTCCTGGTCTGGCAAAGGACCAGAGTTTGTCCCAGCGCCCATGTCAGGCTCACAACCACCTGTAACTCCAGCTCCAGGGGATCTGTCACCCTCCTCTGACCTCAGGGGGTACTTACACATGCACATCACACATACATGTAACATGAAAAATGACATGAAAGCACAAAGGAAACTCTTGAGGAGCTGAGGAAAGGAAGGGCTTGGCAGAAGTGGAGTGAGAGGTGATGAAGGTGAATATGATCAAAATACATTGTAGACGTGCGTGAAAAAATTGTTTCTTAGTTTTGGGGCTGGAGAGACGGCTCAGCGGTTAAGAACACTAGCTGTTCTTACAGAAGACCCGGGTTCGAATCCCCGCACCCACATGGCAGCTAACAACTATCTGTAACTCCGGTTCCAGGGGATCCGACAGCCTCTTCTGCCCTCTGCAGGCATTGCACAACACAGGTGCACCTACCTACATGCGGGCAATACACACATACACATAAAATATTTAAAAAATTGTTTCTCAGTTTTTTGTTACAAGAAAGGACAATGAGTCTTAGAGAAATTCCCTGATTCTCTGGGTCAGACTGACACCAAAGTCTCCTTCCAATCCAGGGCATGCTCTAGCACAGTGCACTTCCGTGGAGAGAGGCTACATTTTCTGGTAAGAACCCTCAGTAGGGAGAGAACAGGGAAGAGAGAGCAGGGAGATCGGGCTGTGCCACCAGCTGCCCTTAGCTCTCCGTGTCTGCCCCACTCTGCGGGTCACATCTGCCTTGTAACACTACAGACCCGTGAATTCACATCTGACTTCAACAACTGGGAAACTATTTGCACTATGAAACTGGAAAACAATATGGGGTACCGCTTAAATTTGGCTTTCAGATAAACAGATATTTTTTAGTATGTGCATGTCCCATGCAAGATTTCAATCTGTTTTCAGGAAACACACTTTAAAAGTTTGTATTAAAAATATTTATTGCTGGGACTGGTGAGATGGCTTAGTGGTTAAGAATGTGTACTGTTCTTCCAGAGGACCTGAGTTGAATCCTACCCAACCTAGGTGCTGGGAACGAAACTCAGGTCTTCTGGAAAAGCAGGAAGTACCTGTAATTACTGAGCCATCGCTCTAGCTCAATACTTTTTTACTTATATTTCAAGTACGTTTGGATTTCTAACGAATCCTTGAAGAAATGGTACACATGACGTATCAGTAGCTGCTAGCATTCACCTGGTAAGATGGTGAGGGGGAAAATGCCAGAATCATAGTTGGTGGGCAGAGTCCTACAGCGGACAGCCTTTCAGTGGGAGATGGAATCTTCGTTGTTTTCAAGTTTGGGTAAATATGAATAAAGCTATTATAAATGTTCACGTGTAGTTTTGGGTTTGTGTGTGTATGTGTATGTACACAAAGTTTTGACTCTCTCAGGTAATACCGAGGGATATGGTTGGTGGGTCATACGATGAGGAAGCGTTTAGCTTTGTAAGAAACCAACTGACTCTACCAAAGTGACTGCTCCGTTTTGCATTCCCACTAGCAAGGAGAGCAAGTTCCTGTTCCTCCACATTGCCAGTGCTTGGTGATGCCGGTGGATTGGTATGCTGTGATACCTCATTTGCATTTCCCTGATGATACAGAAAGAATATTGGCAATGCAAACTTATCTGGGCATCTTACACTGCATCTGACAACCCTGCTTTTAGGAGCGGGCACTGGGGATTTTATTCATTTGGCTGCTTCCTTTCCTACATGTCATCAGCACTGCCATTGCTGTGTTACCAACGCAGCGCCTTTCAGATACTTACGCACTAACATTTAATGAGACCCAAACTCTTCCAGGCTAAGGACTGATTCCCACTTTGCTGAGGAGACAAATATGTAGACAGATTAATTTCGCTATATTCTTTTTAAAACTATTTTATTTATTATTTAAATTTTTATCTGTATGAGTATATTGCCTGCATGTATATAAGTGCACCTCTAAGTGCCCGTGGCAGTCAGAAGAGGGCTTTGGATTCCTCTGGAACTGGAGTAACAGACAGTTGTTAGCTGCCATGTTGGTTTTGGGAATCGAACCAGGGTCCTCTGCAAGAGCAGCCGGTGCTCTTAACTGCTGAGCCATCTCTCCAGCCTTTAACACACATATTTTTGTCTAGCACCTCTTGACTTCAGGTTAACTTTGTGATACAGTTGCCACACCCCTAGATGTGGCATGAAAGAAATCTCATAGTGATTATAATGATTGGAATGAACAATGTCCCCATAGACTCAGGTATTTGAAGACTTGGGCCTCAATTGGAGGCACTATTTGGGGAAGTTTAGGAGGTACAGCCTTGCAGGAGAAAGCGCGTCACTGGGGTGGGCTTTGAGAGTTCATAGCCTTGCCCCACCTTGAATTCACTCTCTGCTTCTTATGTGCAGATTAAAGATTTAATCTCTCAGCTTCCTGCTCTGGCCACCTGCTGTCAGACCTCCCCACTATTATGGACTCTGGAATGGTAAGCAAAAGCAAACTCTTCCATATGTCACTTTTAGTCATGGTATTTTATCACAGCAACAGAAAAGTAACTAATAGAGTGATGCCCAGAATCCGGTTACTTTGTTTAAACTGGTCATGGCCAGCATGGACCTAAGGTTGGGAATTTCTTCTACCTGGAGGATTTAACTGGCTGTAAGAGATCCTGATGTACAGACGTCTCATGTTGATCAACCTTATTCCCAATAACTTCCCCCTGATGCGTAAATGCAGATGTTCCCCTTCCAAGCAGTAGCAGCCAAGGACAGGCACTGCATCTTTAATTTTCTTCTTAGATCCCTTCCTACACTTTTTCAGCCTGCTGGGTCTCTGTCCTAGTTAACTTTAACTGTTAACTTGATGCAGTCACGTGAGAAGGTAGTCTCAATTCAGGGATTTCCCAGATCATAGTGTGTCTATGGGGGACTGTCTTCATTATTAATTGATGTAGAAGGGCCTAGCCCACTGTGGGTGGCACCATTTCTGGGGCAAGTAGATGGGGCTGTATAAGAAAACTAGCTAAACATAAGCCTGTGAATGAGCCAGCAAGCTGCGCTCCTCCATGATTTTTGCTTCAAGTTCCTGCTTGAGTTGCTACCCTGACTTCCCTCAGTGATGAACTGTGACCTGGAAGCTAAATAAACCCTTTTCTCCTCAAGTTGCTTTTGGTCAGAGTGTTTGGTCAGAGTATCAGAAAGGAAACAAAGCAGTCTGCAATGAGTCTCTACTCTATAGACATTCCAATGGACAATCTTGCCCTCACCTGGAAGGGCAGAAAGATGGCATCCCTGCTGAGTCACTGCAAGTTGGCTGTTTTCTTTCACAGAAGTCAGCTCTGATGGGGCCCCTTCTTGAAGCTGTGTTCTCTAGTTTCAGGAAATTGCGCCTTGACTCTGTCCTCAGACTTCAGGTGTGAACAGCACCCCAGTCTTGCTCTCTCGGGTATGCATTCTTCCTTCGTAGTTTTGCTATTATTCACACCTTGATAAACTTTCGTTAAACTCTTTTTAGTTACTCAGTTCGAGTACACCCTTATTTCTCAGTGGGACCCTGGCTGATAGCCTGGAGGAAAGTGTTACTCTGATCATCATTTGCCTGTCAGCTCACATGCACTACAGAAAAGGTTAACTCAAGGACATATATTGGTCTACCATTGGTCTACCAGGCGGCTATCTGTTATGCAGGAAATATACTGCGTTTGACAATAAATTGTAATTTAAACTGAGTTGATATCTTTGGGGAGTATCAGGTATCAAACAATTCATCAGAATCGCTGTTTCTTTTTCTGGTGCTGACCTAATGGGGCAGGAACGTGTGCTGTGATGTCAGAGAGATCTAGTTAGAGTTTAAGCTCTTTTAACTGTTAACTTGTGATTATGAGAGAAGTTACATTACCTCACTGGGCCTTATCTATAATATGAGGGTGATAATACTTCTCAGATTAAATGAGAGATTATTAAATACTTAGCTTGCTGCCTGGTACATAATAGGATTGTTAAAAGGCCTAAGCGATGCTTACTGACAGTGCATCTTAAGAATTAGCCATGGAGGGGCTGAAGAAATGGCTCAGCATTTGGGAGTGTATACTGTTCTTGCAGAGAACCTGTTAGCTTCCCAGCAGCTAAATCTGGTGGGTCACAACCCCCTGTAACACTAGCTTCAAGGTACCAGATGTCTCTTATGGCCTCTGTGGCCATCTGCACTCATGTGCACATACACATACATCATTTAAAACATAAAACCTTTCTCTGTAAAAAAAGAATTAGCTGTGCTTTCTACAGCAGCACCTTCCAATAGAAATCTCATCAGGGAAGGAGCTCTTCTCTCTTCTATGCTTCCTGCAGGTGGCCATTGAAACCTTTCAGTGTTTGATGTGTGCCTGAGTTGCCAAATTTGTTTATATAGTGTGTGTGTGTGTGTGTGTGTGTGTGTGTGCGCACGTGTGGTGTACGCCTATGTCTTCATGTGTGCGAGAGGCGGCCCTCCAGTGTCTTCCTGTGTCACCCTCCAGCTTATGTTTTTGACGGGATCTCCCACTGAATGCAGGGCTTGCTCATTTCAGCCAGACTGGCTGGCCAGCAAGCCTCCAAGGACCCCCTGCGTGCTTCCCAGCCCTGGGATTGCAGATGCCCGCCACCATGCCCAGCTTTCACATGGGTTCTGGGGATCCAAACTCAGTTCTTTCTGCTTGCGCAACAAGTGCTTTATCCACTAAGCCATCTCTCCAGCCCAGTGTTATATAATTCTAATAAATTTAAATAGCTACCCATGGCTCCTGGCTGCCACATTTGACAGTGCAGATTTCATGGTAAACATAAAAATATCAAGTCATTTTGTAAGATCATCAGACAGTTCAGACATACAACCTTGAAAGCTGTTAGCGGGTTGAAATCAGAGTTTTAGGACAATCTATCATTCACTCAGCAACTGATACTGTAACATCTACAGTACTCATTGAAATAATGGATTTTGTTAGTGAAAAGTCAATGGAGTTACATGCACACAAATGAACACACATATGCATACTTAAAGGAAATGTTTAGATAAGTTTACTCCTAGCAGACGGTATGTATGTGCTCCTCACTTCCTCTTGGGAAGGCAGATATTAATCTGCAGGCTTTGTGATGTTCATCCTTCTGGAGTCTCTGGACATTTCAACATAGCACTTGTTCCCACTGAGCCTTGTCAACTTCCCAACCCTCAGAAACACACTGCAGTCAAGTATGATCCTTGGATCCGAATGAACATGTGAGAGATAAATGCATGTCCCATCCTGGATTTGGCCGTGATCTTTTCAGAGAACATTTGAGTAGTCTGGGGACAAAACAGAACAGTACATATAATTAAAAGGTCAATGTATTTAGAGGTTTTCTAAGTAGAGGGGGTTAGAGAGAGGTCCTATTTTTCTTGCTTGTGAGTCATGAAAATAATCACAAATATTCTGCTTTGGGCCTTCAGAGAACCCCTCTGGACCCCAGGCCCACCTCCCCACCCAGCTCTGAACCCTGGGAAGCTTCCTGCCACCTAAGCTGGGCTTCCCTGGCCCTTGGTTTATTGTTGGGAATGGCCAGTTGAAAACACCAATAACATATCTAATGAGCACGTTAGAGGGGAATTGAGATGCTTATCTCCCCAACTCCCTCCTTGTAGGGGTGGTTGGACTGTTTTTACCTCAGCACTGTGAGTTAGCTCCCGCCTCCCCAAGTTCTCCCTCTCCTCCTGGATGCTGCTTCTTCCCTTCCATCTTCAGGCTTAGACAGAGCAAGAGGAGACTCAGCAGTTGCCTGCCCTGAATGCTACATGATTTTCTTGTGGTTTCTCTCCACCCTGACCACTTCTCTGAAAAAGAGTGCCTTTATTATAACTGCTTACATTACACACGACTGTAGCATTGTTTTCTGCTGGGACTCTTTCTGATGTAGCTATGAAATAGTATCTGGGTGTTTTCTCACTGAGCTTTTCTTCCTTGAGGCAGTTGCTGCAGAGATAATTTAGGACAGGGCGTTTTAAAGCAGTTGTTTAATCTCATTGCCTTACCAGACACCAATTCAGACCCCTCCAGGATGAGTCACCCTATTTGTGTGGGTGGGGTTAGTAAACTCCCTGAAGTGTAAGAAAGATTGTCTTGATAGTGGTGACAGAGAATTTTCTCAAAAGTCCAAATGCATAGCCCCAAATAAAATAAACCAAGGGAAAAAAAGGGTTTATGCATTTGGAAGTCTTCAGCAGTGACCCATAGCTCAGCCCATCCTTTATGAGGCAGGATGTGGTCAGAGTGCTGTATACGGTTAAGAAATTTCCCTTCTAAGCATCTTCATTCTGTCGCTTGATGTGGATAAAATCGGTTCCAAGCAATACTTAAAACTGAGATGTCATACATATAGAATTGGTAGAGTTTTGAAAGAATCAGAATAGTACACTAATTACCTTCTGCCTTAAAAGTCGTTAAAAATGGCTTTGGCAGGGCTCACTTCCTTTATTTTGGGCACAGAGAAGGCCTGGCTTTCTATGACATGTACTGCTAGATGGCTAGAGATAGATGGCCGCCTTCCTGGGTGGTTGCCTAGCTGGTGTAATCCTTGCAGAAGTGCTAAAAGCCCCTCCCCTTCCAGCCCCTGAAATACCTTTCTTTCCAGAGGCTCTGTCACAATTCCTGAAAGTCCCATACTTAGCATGAGATCTTCACGGTATTGCAGAAATCTTTGTCAGGATGAAGTGTTTATGGTTTAAGCTGTTATCTCCTCGAGGCTGTTACAATGGGGAAATTAGAGTTCTGGTTGGGAAGGTAAAAAGCAAAAATGTAAGACACACAGAATCTTTCAGGAATGGCAGACCTGGTAGAGACAGCACAGAGGAGTGGGCCGGTGTCCCTGGGAAGCACTGGGTACTTCAGTGTGCCATTGTGTGGATAGCACGTTCATCAAACACAAACTTTGCCTAAATGTGGCCCTGTAGTCTAGGTAAAAGTTGAATATTGTAGATATACATTTACAATGAGAACAGTGTGATGTGCTGTCAGAGACTGACAGAGGATGCCTAATGGCATACTTGATCTTGAAGAGCTAAACTATTAGGCTAAACCAGGAGCTAGAACGTCAACATCTGTCAGGATGACGGATCCAGTCCCAACGACTCCACTGATTAGCAGTGGGCTTGAGACTTGTGTTTGAAGGAGGGGCTCGGGGTGCTCATGCCTCATATCTGCTAGGCCTACCCCTTTCCTGCTTCACTCCATTTTTAAATATAATATGTAGGTATCCAGTGGTCCCAGGCAGGCTTCAGGAGCCTCTAGCACTGTCTTCCTTGAAGTTCACTGTCACTGGGTCTGATCACAAGGAGTAAACGCAGGGAACCCTGTATTCCTTCCGATGTCTATGGCTCTAACTTGAATAAGATGCTAGCTGATGGTCTCTGGAGCCTGGCTGAGGCCTGATGGGCCAGGAGGCTTGGCCTCTGTAGGAACACTTCTTCAGACGCTGGCTTTCCTTTTTCTGTCTTCTTGAGGAAGCCTAAGGAGTCATCCTTGACTCTTCCCATCATTCCCTTTTCTGATTTAGCAGTTATACCTGGCATATGGTATTCTTCTAGGATCACCTCTTACCACCCAGACTGCCCACCCACCCTGAGTCCAATAAGACACCATCTCTCATCTGGTATACTGTCATAGACTTCTGGGTCAGGCCTTGCTTTGACTCCAGCCTCCTGTAATCTTTCCTCCACACAGGATAAAAATGTAAGTTACGTCATCTCATCCCTCTGCTTAAAGACCTCCAGCAGCTTTCCAATACATTTGGAATAGAATTAGCATCTCACTGTGGTCTCAGATGTTCCCACAATCTGAGCCCATATCCGTCTGCCAGCCACTCTTTCCCCTTCATCCTTCCCAGGTGCCCTGACCTACTGCTTCTTAATTTCACCCACATTTCAGTCCTCCCTTTGTCAAGATGTTTCCTACACAGACCCTGATGCAGCCTCCTCCACTCATACGGTCCTCCTTTAGATGCTGCCATTCTTTCCTTGTCTTGGTCAGGAATCATGCAGTCGCTGCCCCATGTTACTCCCCAGGCTCTAACTTCACCTTTTCTTCACATGGCAGCTCGCCACTGCTGGGTGTTGCGCTAATTGCTCTTTATCTGTATGTGGATTCCTTATTTTCACTATAGAAGTAAATCTTTGATCTTTGGCAGAAGGGCTGTCACCTACTTATCACTTTGTCCTAATGCCTACATGAGTGTCTGGAACATAGTCATTACTAGGAATTATTTGCTGAATGACTGAATGGATTGTGGAAGGGGAGTTGCAGACCAAATCACGTGAGGGCTCAGCAAGGTATGCTCATGGAGACAAGACAAAAGCCATTGTAAGGAATGGGATGAGGGCTGGTTGTAAAGACTGTTCACTGAGGAGTGTGAGATTCTACTAGGAAGCTGTGACCATGCCAGAATCCAGATCAGCGACCATGGCCATCACAATGGCCAGGATCAAGGTCAACACCATGGTGGCCAGTGTGAGCTCCCAGCATGAAGGATGCAAGGCACATTGAGGCAGTTTCTTCACAGACTCTTTTCATTTTACTGCTGGAGCTGAGCCACCATAGGTCTAAGTGACTCTGAAGTTGAGCTTGATTCAGAAATGGTGAACTCTTTAGTCCCAGGAGGTTGTAGACTGCCTGCTATGAAGCCATTGTTAATCAATCCATTTAATGCTGTGGACTCTGGGGAGAGACACATGCCTTCCCCAACCAGCTCCTAACATACCAAACACATCCCTTGCACATCATTCCCAATGTAACACCCCCCCCCCCGCAATAACCCAACAATTCTTCAGGCAAGATGTCATGTTGCAGACAGTCCCCAGAGACCAGAGTTCCATGGCCCACTCACTTCTCATGTTGGGGAACTCCGCTCAGCAGCAAGGGGCTCTGGGCTGGCCGGGAATCCCCACTACAGCAGCAATCTCTGTTGGGCTGAGGAGGGAGGGCTGCTGGCATCTGCTGAGAAGCAGAGCCCAAGGATGCTGAGACATCTGGGTGACAGGGAGTTCATCTCTAGAGACGAAGAAAAGGTTCAGGCTAGAAGTGCTGCAGACACTAAGTGCTCTGGGCCCAGCCTCCCTGCCCCCAACTCTCCTGGGGCACTCCCAGAATCTGTGTAGCACAAAGTACACGACTCTGTGTGCATAGTCCAGTCCATCACTTGAGGCTAAGAAGAAAAGAGGCTTGGCTTGGCTTTCAGAGGAAGTGAGGTGAAGATTCTTCTCCACTAAACAGCTAAATAAACCACTTAAGACCTTTCATGACTCAGAAACCACAGACCCCACAGCCAGCATGCATGTATTCATTCTTGTCGACAAATACTGATCAAGAGCGTATTGTGTGACTAACACTGGGCTTGGGTTGAGAACGTAATGGTAAAATAAGATTCACTCTCTCCGCTCAAACTTGGACAATCCCACTCCGAGGTGGCGTATTCTACAGCACAGAAGGTAGTGCGTACCAGTCTCAAGGAACAGAAACTGACTTTGCCAGTGTTTAGGTGTGATCGTGGGCAAACTGCTTCATCTCTCTTCACCTTTTTTCATCTATATTTAAAGAAATGGCATATGTCATATAACTTAATGAAGCACAGTTCATTAGCAAGTATTTAAGCCATGTATCAAGAAAGGTTAGCTATGATCAGGTTATAGTTTAAGTATTAGTAGGGAATTGCTACAGGAGCACATTTGTATATTGAAATAACTGAGTTTCGAGCAAATATATCAATTTTTAGGGCCAAGACTAGAAAACATTTGAGTAATTGGAAATAACATTTTTTGCTTCCTATTTGAGAGTCTCTTTGTCCCAACTCTGTCTCCCCCCTTTTCTGGAATGCTGTGTGCTCTGAATCGCCTTCTGGTTGACAGATCGGAAGGCATCCAGGCAAGGTCTATATATCACATTGTCAATGATTTAGAGCATGGCGCATCTTAGCGGGATTTACATCTCGCCCAAACAGTGATGTCATTTCAGGCGTCCATGGAAACTCGAAGACAGAATGGTTACAGCAACACACCCATGAACTCACAGGACCTTGGTCCTTGACGGATCTGTGGGCAGAGGGAGACCCTCCAAGCTCTGTGATGTCGGCTACCGAAGAAAATAAAGCATCCGTGTTGTACGTTACCTAAGTTCAGGATGGCATTAAGGCCTGCATTGAAAAAGATGGTTTTAAACATTTGGGAAGTACAGATAGAGTACATCTAAACACAAGCAGCTGGGCCTAAAAAATCCATCAGAAGGAAGAAGAATTTTATAGACATATAAACTGAAATATTACATTTCTATACTACCAAAGATTCCATAAAGAAAGCTAAAATGTGAGCTACACACTGAAGAGATTTACAATGCCTATAACCAACAAATAATTCATAATACATTTTTTTATTCCCCACAAATCAATAGGAAAAGTAATACAAGAAAAAACAGCAAATAATATAAACTGGGCAGTCATTGGAAAAGAAACACAACTCACTCTCAATATCAAAGGAAATTCACATTAAAATCACAGCACGATACAGCCCTGTGCTCTTTGGGCTGACAGTAGTGGTAATATCTGACAAAACCAAGCTTTGGTAAGCATACTGGAGAAAGCATTCTTGGGAATGCTTGCTAGTGGGAGTGTAAACTGGTAGGTTTTCTACACTGGGAATAGCTATCAAAGGTGAAGATATAACTATCCTAACATGCAATGACTCAGTTCCTTCCTTCCTATGTAAGCCAGGCGATCCGTTGCATTTGTGTAAACAATGTCAGGCACGCAGTGCCCATTGTAGCATTGTTTATAAAGGCAAAGAATTGGAAACCAGCAAAAGGACGGGCGAATACTCTGGGAATCAGTTATATAAGGCAGCCTAATGCAGTGGCTATGTGTATGAGATGGAGCCACATCAACCTCTGGGAAATAATGTTGGAACAGAAACAGTAAACTACAGAACTGTCTGACTAATTTAGATAAACCTTAAAACACAGCAATTTTATATTGCTAACATTATTCCATTATCTATGCATGCATTTTGCTTATAGTGTGTATTATCTACATCTAAATAATATGTATTTAAAACATACATGTTTCCATAAAATATGGAGTAAGAATTTACAAAATAAAGTATGGGCTGGTCAATACTGAAAACAGTTTGTAGTTAGAGGGAACAGGAGAAGATAACAGGGCTTTGGTATGGGGGGGTTTCAAATATGATAAAATGGTACTGTTAAATCTAGGAGGTTGACAGTATATATACCAAGTATAGGTGTTTATATTTTTCTATGTATTTGATTTTAACATTAAAAAATGGAAAGGAATTATCCCTCTTTATTAAAAAAATTTTTATTCTTTGAAATTTTCATATATGTATATGTTTTGATCATATTTGCCCTTACTTCTCCCCCTAACTCTTCCCAGATCCAATCCCCACCCCAACCCCTGCCAACTTGTGTCCTCTATTTTTAATAACCCACCAAGTCCAGTTTGTGCTGTCCATAAACTCATTGGTGTGAGGCCATCCACTGGAGCATGGTTGACCTACCAGGGGCCACATCCTTAAAGAAAAATGGCTCTCCTTCCCACAGAAACCACCATCTGTCAATAGCTCCTCAGCTAGGGGTGGGGGTTTGTGAGCCCTTCCCCACTCCAAGCTGGAACATTGCCTGGGTTAATATTGTGCCAGTCTTGTGCAGGCAACCACAGCTGGTGTGAATTCATGAGGACAACAGCCTTGCCATGTCAAGAAGACGCTGTTTTGCTCTGGGCTCCCAGACCTCTGGCTCTCACAGTCTTTCTGCCCCTCTTCCTCACTGGTCCCTGGGCCTTGGTGGCAAACGTGTGATACAGATGTCCCATTTGCTGCTGTCGGCTCCCTTACCTGCTTACGGCGTTTGGATTGACTCTTCAATTAAAGGTTGCATCCCCAACTGTGCTTCATGGGTCTGTGATATGTCGTTTGACTCTGCCACATTCTCTTTGTGCTTCCAGGGCAGGGAGGCCATGTATGAATGTGTTGTCCCTTCCCTTCACAAGTGTGCTGACTGAGAGAAGGCAGAGACCTGAAACACAGTCAGCCCTCTGCTCTCTAAGCTGTGCCCAGAGGCACAGGCCGGCATCTTACATTCCTGTATCCAGTCAGAGTGAGCATCTTTTGATAGCTCTGGTGCTTGGGAAGAGCCGCTTCTGTTCTGACCACGTAGCTGGGATACCGTTTTTCTCTTGGCACAGAGGCGTAGTTTAGACTGGAAGCAAATCATTGTTAATGAGGTTGAGCACACACTTGCTCCACTGAAGACATAGACAGAAGCTGGAGGAAGCCCTAATTTGCTCACTTGTCTCTACCTAAGCATTTCCAACATCTGCCAAGTCTGCAGCTCATGGGAGTGAACCGGATATCGCATACACACCCTCTTCCTGAAGACCACTGGTGAGCTTTTGTCTAAGATTGTGGACATTTTCTGATGGTCTTGAATGGTTGAAGTATACTGTTTTAACACTTAGCTAGGAAAGCAAAGGAAAGCACCCAACAGCAGCAGTTCGAAGTAAAACAATGCAGTTCAACTGCAATTGCCTGCCATGCACTAGGGATGACATACTGTGTAGACAACTATTTAGGGACACAGCAAACCTCTGTGTACATTCTAGGCTTAGAAGAATGACGGTGATAGGCTCACGTTTCCATATGAATCTCTGGGTCAACAGAAGATGGCCATGGAAAATTAGCTAGCTGTTCAGTACAAAGTAAACTGCTATTTGTATCTGTTCCCACAAAGCTGTGACAAATATTTTGAGGAATTTGTCTTCGTGATGCTTTGTAGATGATGATAATTAGATCAGTGAATTATAATGGATTCGTCCTAGAATAAAATATAGCTATAAGTTAAAAATCAATAGGATTTATATTATGTGAAACATCAGACTCAGTCACCCATCTCTTTTTTTCCTTCTAACTTGTGATGGCTAATCTGGGTTGTCTGCTGCTTGACACACTTGGGAAGAGGTAATCTCAATTGAGGAGTTTCCTCCATTAGACTGATCTGTGGGTATATCTGAGGGGCATTTTCTTGATTGCTAATTGATAGAAGGAGATCTAACCCACTGTGGGCAGATGGTCTTGGGTTATATAGCTGACTAGAGGCAGGGAACAAGCCAGCAAGCAGTGGTCCTCCAAGGCTTCTGCTTCAAGCTCCTGCCCCAAGTTCCTGTTTTGGCTTCCCTCAGTGGTGGACTGTAACTTGTAAGCTAAAACAAACCATTTCCTCCCAGGTTGCTTTTGGTCATGGTGTTTATCATAGCAACAGAAAAGTAAACTTATATGTAACCCATCATTCAAGAAGCATTTGACAAGTGCCCTGCTGTGTGAAGTGCCTAGGATGGAAGACCAGCTCACAAGTTACCCTCTCAAGGAAATCAGACTCAGTTAATTGAACTCCAGTGTTCTAAGGCAGTGAGAGAAAGCAACTCAGGAGCTGGTGGGCCAGCAGATGGCAACTGGAAACGGCATATACTTGGGTCAGAAAGGTTGCTTGTTAAGGGTGCTGTCTGGACTGAGTTTGAAGGGCAGAGGAGAGTCTTCAGTGGGACAGAGGGAGCTGGATTAAGTGTGTTGTAAATGGCATTGGTTATTTATTTTGTTGTCCACCCAGATGTGATTCCCCCCATAATAATTATTGGGGATTCCCTCACCTCTTTGGGGACCCACGTCTGTGGAGCTGTCATTCAGTGTACCTGAGAGCCATATTCCAGGCAGCCAAAAGGGCCAGATGAAGTTGAACCAACCTGGCCCCATGGCACTCTCTCACCAAGAATTTGATTCTTTCGTCCAGTTGTTTAAAGGAAGGAAGATGATTGCTGCAGACCCCTGATGTCCCTGGGTCCTGCCACCCAAGCCCACGCCTGCTTCTTGGCAGAGTTTTCCCTTCAGCTTTGGGTCCTGTCGTCTGTCTTGTCAAGTGATCCAGAATCCGTTTCTTCAGATTTCAGATAAATGAATAAATAAAAGAGATATAAGGAAAAAGAACCAAAAGTGACAACTGTGTCTAGAAAAGCTCCCATTTAGCAACTAGAATTCCTGTGCATGTGTGCACATGTATGCAGCGCTGTAGAAGCCATAGGTTCACGTAATGTTCAGTGCTGTCTTCTGTTCCTCCCCATCCTTTTTAATTTTTGTGGGACAGAACACCTCACTGAACCTGAAGCTTGCCAATTAGACTGGCTGTCTGCCAGAATTATTTAAGAAAAACTTTCTAAGCCCTTAGAAGTTCTACTACAAAAGAAAGAAAAAAATGAAGCGAGGGAAAGAAGGACAGAAGGAGGGAAGAAAAAAATGGAGGGAGGGAGGGAGGGAGGGATGGAAGAAGGAAGGAATGCTTCATCAGGCTCTGATCAGACACACCTTCCTGGACACCAAATGGAGGAGTGATGGAAAGTCCCTTCCAAGGTGCTGGTTTGCAGGAAAGAGCGGCATAATTCCAGCCTCTGCACTTGCGGGGCCTTTGACTCCCCCCCCCCCCCCCAGAACAGCTGTTGCCTCCAGTGTGAAGGACACAAGAGGAGTACGTCTCTGTTTCACGCAGAACCAAGGGGGAATCTTCCAGTGACCACCAGCGATGGTGGTTTACCTGGATGGCCCTCAGGGAAAATGCGAATGACCAAGCCAGGGACTCAGATCTCGTGCCCACTGCTGGCTGGGCTTCTAAGCTTCTAGCCCACAAGCCTAAGGTCTGGTAAAGAGGCAAGCCAATCAAAAGCTCTGGCTTTTTCATTGTTGTAATTACAGCAACATCTCTAGTACAAATTATGACTCATTTACTCCCCAAGGCAATTAACATCTGGGCTACCACCAAGGAAACTCCTTTTTTGGGGGTGCAGAATGACATCATGTGGTGCTGCTCACAGAACATTGGAGATCCTGCCTCCGGAAGGAGGAGACTTTGCTTAGTGCAAGGTCGGGGGAATGGTTTCCTTCTTCATAGTGGCTCCTCCTGGAGAGTCTTTGGGCTCTGACATCCCCTGACGTGAGCATTATCCACAAGGTTTTATTGTGGCTTTGATTATTACATCTACTGCTTTTATTAGAATTTGCCCGTGAAATGATCATGGCAGTTTAGCCAAGAGAATCTCAGTGAAATTGTTCATAAGACATTGGCCTTATACATTGATGTGAAAGTGTTTTGATTTCTTTTCTATTTCTCTGTTACAGAAGCCAGTGGGACTTTTCCATAGTGGACCTTGTGGTCTGAACAATTAATGCCCTTGATTTGTATGTTGAAATTCTAAACCCACTGTGATAGTGCTAGAAGTATCAGCCTTTGGGAGGTGATTGAGTCATGAGGTGAAGACCTCATGTGTGGGATTAGTGCCTTCATTAAAGAAATCCCAGACAGCTGGCTCTCCCCGGCTGCCACAGGAGGACACAGGGAGAGGTATTGCCTGTGACACAGGAAGTAGACCCTCACGGTACACCAGATCTATTGGAGCTTTGATGTTGGACTTTCCAGCCCCCAGAACTACAAAAGATAAATTTCTATAGTTTATAGACCACCCAATTTATGATATTTTGTCAATCCCAACCTGCATGCACTTAAGTAGCGGATACACACAGTGCAGTGTCTGAACAGAGCAGCCAATCACAAGGTCTGTAGCAGCTGGTGGAGATTTGGTGTCATCTCAAACACTGCTGAGCTCTGGCTTTGATGATCTCCAGAGCTGCTTCTGTGAACTTGTGCTATTTCAAGAGGCCAAAGTCCAGGCTTGAACTAGTTCGAGCTCAGCTGGGAGTGTCTTGTCTCTACAGGATCATTGACAACTCAAGGTGCTGATTTCACTTTGCATTGACTTGGAATTCCAGTTTCCTCACCTTG